ATCGTTATTGAAGACAGAATTATTGAAATCCTGTAAATTAGTTCACTTCCTTACGTACCTAACCAAAAAATATGCATTTCAATTTCTAATTTGTTTTTAGACTTGTAATAAAGTCTTTTGCACGTAAATAATATTGTAACAGGTCTTTAATACCTGTATCTCATTGTAGTACCTTGTATCTCATTTAGAGCATGTATTTATTTTTTCAAAACAACGTTTATAGTTTTACTATAAAATAAGAGGTTTCAACGAATTTAAAACAAACTCAACTGGGAACATATTTCAATGACCAGTACACCCACTGGCTTCTAAAATCAAATACCCTTTCCACTCGCAAAATGTGAGATCATTATGTATTTTGCCGCCGGAGCGACGGCATCCGAGTGGAAAGGGTTACGATTATATATCGTAAATAACTAGTAGATCCATGTACAACATATACACGTATTTAACCATAAAAATGTTCTACACTTTAATTTCGAAATTCTTCCTAATAACTAGTTTTAGCTAGTAAATAAGATTTTTCGAATAATTTTTTATCTTTTATTTTATTATTTTTTGGGTACGTGCCATTGACGTAAATATGATCTTGCAAGTTTTATTTTGGTTTCGAAATTATTCTTATCGTGTTATATTTTTATTTTATTTGGTTACGAACCGCGAATTATTTTTCATTGTTCATGTATTTTGTTTTTGTTTGAGATTTACTTACGTCTCTACAAATAAAACTAAAAATAAATATTATTAGTCATGTGATTTATTCATAAGTATTGAAGAATGTTTAACCCTTACGCTGCAATGTCGCCTATAGATGACATCCACTTCGTCCACTTTTGCTTCAAGATTTATCACTCAAGAGTTAAGTTCTTCAGAATTCCAATTTGTCTTGTAACTTTTAGTTCTTTAGTGTAATTCTTGTTTTTAAATATATACATATATATCGATAATGATTAGAAAATCTTAAAATATTTTGTGCAACAAATGCTTAGGCGGCTTGTTGACTACAGTACAGCAGTGTCGTTTCGGCTCGTCTTATAAGAGATTTAATAAATCCGCTGAAATTATTATAAAAATGTTTTTAAACTGGAACAGCTTTATTACATTTGTTTGAATTTTTCGAAATTTTATACTTGAGGTTCTAACCCTTCTCACTCGGATGCCGCCGCTCCGGCGGCAAAATACATTTAAATCTCGGAATTCGTGAGTGGAAAGGGTTAAATTATATGTTGTTCAATATCAATTTAAATTTATTACTGGAGATACACAAGTATCTGAAGAGTTATATGATGTATACGCCAAGCAATCAGTTAGATGAACTCTGATAGTGATGGTCCATTGACCTCTTACTCCTCTATCTCGCATTTATTAAAGAATACTTTCATTCTGCATGCAAATACAAAATAGCACCTGATTATTTTTAACTACTTTTGTAATTTTTTGAATTCCCGAAGTAGTTTTTGGCAAAAAATCCGAAATGCTAATTTTGTATTTACGACATTTCAAGTCATTCTGAATTCCAAATTGTTTGTAAATGTAATACTTTTCTAATTACCTTATTTATAATCTATAATAAATTTTTAAAATCCACATATCAGAGTTAGGGTCACTGGCAAACGAGGTTTATATAATTTTTCGAGATAAGATGTACATTATGATAAAATAACCCATTACACAGTCAACTAGTTCATAATCAAAATTTTTCAAATTCCCTTTAATGTAACACTTGCGTATCATAATGGGAAATAAATAAGAATGAAAATATTACATACATAATTAATAATATATAACATATTTTAACCTGGTTTGCAAGTGACCCCAACTCTTATATGTGGGCCTGAAATGATCTAGTATAGATACGAAATAATATAATGGACCCCTTATTCAAAATCTCTGAGATTACAGCTCTCAATTTGAGGGTTTTATTATTTTTACTTTCATTGCTACTGATAACCGACTTTAAAAGCAAATATTACGACTTTGCAATGTTTTATTTACATAAAAAATATCATGTAACAGATGATAAACGAATTCAAAGCCGAATCTACATGTTATTATGTTAATTAAATTTTCAAACAAAATTCGTCACCTCGAATATGCAAATGACGAATGTTATGCACGGTCTAATTGTTACATAGAATAAACATAAAAATTCAGATTTTTAATTGTTTTATATCTACTACTAGACTATAATTTGATTATTCATTTAGATTCATTACTATTGCTACAAGCGACATTACAATATAATAAAAGGACGGATGTCATGCTTAATAAATAAGCGCCCTTTTATTGTGAATGCGGATATGAACAATGTTTTAATTCCGTTCTGAAAAAATGTGTTACAAAATAGTAGAGTACTTATTTTTATTGAATTTTGTTTTGGTATAGCATCTAGTCATTCGACTATTTTTCATATTCTTATAATAAATTTACTCATAGTATTCTATTTCCAATATTCCCATAGTTTTTCAACATTTCTATTAACACGTTCATATCAAAAAACTTATTCCTCAGAATTCAATATAAGTTTCAGTATTGCAATTTTCATGTATATCAACTTGTTTCGAATTCTATCCGAGTACTTCTTATATACGCCGCTTTTGTAGAATTAATAATTCATATTTTGAAAAATATTAAATTTTTTCAGTATATATAAAAGATCACATTAAACAAATTTATTGTTCAATGTTTTCTGTTCACAATCTGTTTCAATATTGGTAGAATACATAATCGCTTGTTAATTATCATAACCGATATTTCAATTTAGTAGGTCTTGATCTGACCATTTTCTGTCTCAATTTTGTTTAAAAATTTACAATTCATATTTTTTGAAAAATGAAACATATTTTAGTGAAATTTGTTTGAATGTTGATTAATTTAAATTTATTTTATTAATATAAACTCTCATACCAGGCAACTCTGCCTGACTGAGATATGAAAATAATGTATATATATATAAATAAATTTACAATCGCATGTATTTGTTTTAATTATTATAACCGATATTTCAATTTTCTGGGTGTCTGATCATTTGCTAACTTTGATAATTTGCTAACTCCGCCTTAAATTTCCCATTTCTGGTTCGGTTTTGTTCATGAATTTATAAATCATCTTGAAAAATACGAAATGTTTTTGCATATATAAATGATCCAATTAAATTTTTACCGTTAGCAATTCTCAATCTGTTTCAATATTGATATTTGAAATATAAACATTTCATAATCACGTGTAATTATTTTAATTATCATAACCGGTATTTCAATAATACATGTTATTGCAGGTCTTTGACCATTTGTCATACCTGCTGAAATTTGTTGATGAAATTGTTTAATACCTAATAATTAACAACTTAAATAAATGTGTAAAATGGTTTTTTTAAAATAATTAAATGCATATGGTCACAGTTTATCGGCGTATGCATAATATCTAATCATTTCAAAAGGTTATTAGTATCTCACCGTTATCAGTCGTTTTTGTCGCATTTTTAGATTCCTGCAAAACATTGCAACGACTTTTGAATACACAATATTAATTCCATAATCTCATTACAAACCTCCCGAAGGAAAAGTTTGTTTTTGTCAGAAATTTCAATTTGCTAATTTTGTTTCCTCATAGTTCAGTTAAAGCTTAAATTAGGTAAGAATCTCGGAATTCGAGATACCCAGCTGTAAGTCTGTAAATACTTGTATATTGACACCCTAAAGTTGTCTCAAAACCTACAACTTTTGAGTCAAAACGACTGCACCAATTTCAAAAATTTAAAATCCATTTCTATAAGGACTGGCTTTGATTAGTTTTGCACGACGGTCGATCGAGCCGTTTCTTTCTAATTAGCAGATAAGCGCAAAAATTTTCTCCGCGTTTTAGTCGAAAATCCTGAACCCAATCTGGATTTTAAAAAACTGTTTTGAAGATGCTAATCAAGGAACGAGCTGATTAATTAATTTTTGGTAACGTTCGGCCATCGTTTGTTTATCCGCAATAGTAGAATATGACGTATATTATTAAAATGTTTAGGCTAGAAATAATAGCTCGTTATTTGCCATTAATTTTTACGATCCCAATTTTTATCGAATATAAAAATTATGATGCTTTAGCTTCGCGTAGAAACAACGTCGTAAATATGTGAAACGATAAATCATTTTCAATTATTGTTGCAATTTCCTCGAAGATTAATTTGAAATTTTTGTGCCTCAGGCCGCTCAATTTACGGAGAACGTTTTGCGGATGAAAACTTTAAGTTGAAGCATTATGGTGCTGGATGGTTGTCCATGGCAAATGCTGGCAAAGACACTAATGGATCTCAATTCTTCATCACTACAAAAGCCACTGGCTGGTTAGATGGACGTCATGTTGTATTCGGAAAAGTGATCAAGGGAATGGTGAGTATCAAACTTTACTATGTATATGATGATATCCAGTAAATCCAAATGAAACTTTCTGAAAACACGTGACCCCAAGAATTTCATTCAATTGCTAATATTCTCATTGCATGAATATTGCAATGAATATTGCCGATATTTCCTCCAATTTTAGTTGTAAATTTATTTAAATGCGTCCATCATTACAAATGTCCTATTATCAATTTTCTTGTACAGTTCATGAAAAATCCATACTTATTTTTTGTGTAAGCTTGAAAAAGTATTTCACTCAACATGTAAATTCAAATTAATACTATATATTAAACAATTCTGCAAAATTACATTTGCTTCTTAATCTTATAAATATTTATTAAATTTTCTAGGATGTGGTGAGGAAAATTGAATCAACATCAACAGATTCCAGAGACAAACCACAACGTGATGTTGAAATTGTAGACTCTGGTGCTGAAGCTGTTTCTGAACCCTACGGTGTGGCTAAAGAAGATGCAACTAATTAAATGATTTATTACTTTTGATAATTTTTTAATCACTTCTAAGAACAAATTGTATACTGATAAAATAAAACATTTTTTTAAAAAAACGTCTTTTTAAAATGATATCTTCAGACCTAGTATGAAATGTAAATCAACTTCTTAACAAGTGAATTTTTTTATGAAGTTATCTTAAGTTGCTTCACTACATATATCATTCAAGATTCCAGTAAATTACCAATACTCTTGACACTCGACCTAATCATTATTAAGATTCAAAAATATAATATAAAAATTTATTGCTAACTCATAAAATTTACAATAACAAAATATATTAATCTACTAAATGTTACCTCATACAAAGTTTCATATTACAATCGATTCTCCCTTACATAGTCCATTAAGTTTCTTCTTGTATACAGCTTTCAACCAATTCTCGTAAATTTGGATTTTCCATAGCTGCAGCAATTCTTTCCTTGTCATTTATTTGTTTATTAACTGAAATATATTATAAAACGTTAGAAGTAATTTTGGATAACATATAATTCTATGGTTAATTACTGTGTCAAAAGATTTTTTTATATTTTTTTTCATAAAAATAAAGGAATATGTATCCTAATATATTACTTGTCTTACATCATTTCAAATTCAAGTCAAAATAACTTAAAATTAAAATAACTTCATAATATGGTGTGAAAAATAAAGACTGCCAGAACTCACTTTCATCTTCAGTAGTATGAGCTCCCTTTTTTATATAAATATCAAGCTTTAATTTATGATTGATTGAACGCTCAATTTTTATCCTTATACAAAGTCCTATTAAAGTTGCTAGGGAACAGTGGGGGACAGTCGGATTAAATTCAATTCTCACAATATGCACATTATCGGCTGTTGATTTTTTAACAAATATACCATCCTCATAAATTACATTTAAATCTTCAAGTGTAGATGGCTTTTCTGGATCTCGGATTGTTCTGATATAGTCTGAAAGAATAGAAATAATTTGTAGAATAGACTTATCCAAAAACATGTAATAAAATGATTCTATACAGTGGCTTAACAATAGCCATCGAATCCAGGAGGTCGCAATCCTCAAATATATTTTTACATTAATTTATTAAGGAACATGAAAAATCAGTTTACTAAAATTAAACTGAGTAGAATGTGACAATTTAGAAATCGTCTGATAGGGCCCCATTGAAAGAATTTGCTACGAGCCCCTGATGGTGTATCATTCACACAATGAGAAAAATTAATCTCATGATCATTAGTGCGTTGCCTATAATTAAATAGTGGCTGAATATTTAAAAAATTGATGCTTACCATATATAGTTTCTTTCAGTTCTTCTGTATCTGCATAACCCAATTCCTTTGTAATTTCTGACAATTTTTCAAAACATTTACTATCATCTGCGTTTGAAGTATCAGACATATCTGATACTGATTTTTTGCGAAAAAAAGAGAACATTATAGTCGCACATGAGAAAAACAATGTATAACCAAATATTTATTTAATTATATAAGTGTTTAAAATTTATTCAGTTTTGATTAGCGAATGACATCGCGTATTATTTGATAAAATTGACAGTAGAAACCAAAACTGTGAAGTTATATCAATAACAATCATGACACCAACCTTCTAACAAATTAAAGAATGACAAATGATTAAAAAAAAGTTTCTGTCATCTATTTTTTTTAAAACTATTTGTCAGTTTTATGTTTTATGAATCGTGCTGAATGACAGAAAATACCCTATAGCACCAATGTACGTATAAATATTGTATATTTGATAAATGAAGTAAATATTTGCAAAAGACCATTTAAAGTATGCAAGTTACAGTGACAATGTGGTTATAGGTCCTACAATTATCAGAATGCTATTATATCTCACTGCAAATGTATTTACTACTTCGATGATTGTGCAAATTGACATATATTTTAACAGTTTCAGACACTAATTTGCATAATTACTAATTACTCCCTCAAACTATGAGAATACCATGATCTTTATTAATAATGCCTTGATGTATTTATGGTACTACATAGTACATAATCTTCAGGAAGCAAATTTCATTGTCTAAAGGTCATATAGTAAGAAATTATCTCACATTCAATATCTGAAGAACACTTTGAAACAATAACACAATTTGTTGATTTTTCTAAACTTATAAGTAGAAAAATTATCATTGTATTTATATCAAATATTGTTTTTAGATTTTCACTAAACAGCAGTATTTTTATTTTAGTAATGAATACTTTCTATTTTAGACTTGTGTTCTCAATTATCAACACCCAGGGAGGCTTTATTTCCATGCTGCAGCACTAAATTAGATGCTGAGTCACATAACCAAAAATCGTGCATGCTTATCTAGTGCATTCAACAAATTTTGTATAACTCTGTCTCGAATAAACAATGGCTGAAGCATCAATAAATGACAAATCAGACAGTAGTTCTTTTGAAGATTTATCAATTCCCAATGAGAATGAGGTGCTTGAAACTGGTAATACTGCCAAAACGAAAACTGATCTCAATACACCAGTGAATACTGAAGAAAACGAAGAGGTGAACACCGAAGAAAACAAAGAGGATAAGAAGGATGATGTGGGTGTTCTGGATATTTTGGGAAATGGACAGCTTGTTAAAACTGTAGGATAAGTATATCAGATTGGAATTTTGTGATAATATTTTATTCAAAACAATTTATACTATTGAAAGGTTATCAAAAAAGGTATACCTGATACGAGACCACAAAGATACGATTTATGCACAGTTACTTATGAGGGTTCTTTATCAAATGGGCTTGTTGTAGACAAAGCAGAGAAAGCAATTGTACAACTTGGTGATAATGAAGTAAGAATTAATTTTTGTTTAAATTTATTATTTACTAGATTTAATTTTTATATTATGGGTTTAATTAAAATTTCATTACATTACTTCAAGTGATTGGATACTATTTCATTTTCAGGTAATACAGGGGCTGGATCTTGCTCTGGCACTAATGGATACAGAAGAAGAATGTGAGTTATATGTTGCCTCAAGATTTGCATTTGGAGATATAGGTAACGGGAGTGTGATTCCACCAAATTCTAACTTAACATATAAAATTACTTTATGGGAAGCTAGAGTTGAAAATGATCTTGAAACCAAAACAATTTCATCTAGAAAAATCATTGGGTAACTGAACTTATCATACTTCTAAGTATAACCTTTGTTGTCAATAATAATTGTAATTTTAATATAGAAACAAAAAGAGGGAACGTGGAAATTGGTGGTACAGCCGTAATGAGCATACTCTTGCTATCCATAGTTATCGAAGGGCTTTAGAGTACTTAGATGATGTTGAAGGAGGTATCATAGATCCAGGTCCAGATGGTGAATATAAGGTAGTTTAAGCATATTAATTTGCCATTTTAATAAAAATAAATAAATTAATTAATGTGTATCTAAAGGTCACAGACTCAGATTTGCAGCAACTGTTAGAAGATAGAGTGAAAGTATATAATAATATGGCTGCAGCGCAAATGAAAATTGAAGCTTGGGATCAAGCACTAAAAAGCCTTGAAAACGTTCTAGGTTGTCAGCCTAACAATGTAAAAGCCTTATTTCGCAAAGGATCGGTATGTAAAAAAGAAGAAGTAAAATAAAAATATTGAATTTCTCAAATACTGCCAATTAACAATGAATATAAATAATAAATTTATCAAATAATAAACCAAAAATGCGTTTCAGGTTCTGATATCAAAAGGAAATACTCAAGCGGCACTAACAGTGCTGAAAAAAGCACAAGTCTTGGATCCTAATAATGTAACAATACAACAAGAACTCCAGCGATTACAAAAAAAATCGAAAAATGAAGCTAAACATGAACAAAATTTATACAAAAAAATGTTAGGACAGCCTATAACTATTAAAGAGAGCAGTCAAGCAAAAGCAAGTGGGAAAAGTGCTGGGAATAAGGTGACTATTAAGTAAAAATGATTAAATTCACTAAATATATGATTTTGCAAAGTAGTAAAACACAATTTTTTTTGTAACAATAAATCAAGTGAAAATATAATCATTTCTATATATTTCAGTTGATTTACTAAAATGAGATTTTTTTTTGCTGGAGAAAGATTAAAAAATGGTTGTCTAAAATCTAAATTCCTAATTTTAGTTGAAGACTTACTTTTGTGTTGCTGGATCCGTGGCAGTTGGAATCATTGGTGTTTTAGCTTATCGATATAAGTACATGTGACTGGAGGCTTCAGAGTGATCTTAGTTCTCATCATTGAAAACAAAAATAACTGAAAAGGACATGAATTTTGTTAAAAACATTCCTAATTGTAATTAAACTTGTCTATACAGATATGCATTTAGGATATTTTGATTTTACTTAGCAATTTATTTCCAATTCAGTTCATTTTCATAATTTAAATTTTCTGTGAAATTATTATTCATTTTATACACTTAAAAGCATTTAGAACATTATTTTGTATTTTTATACTTTTATTTTACAATAATTTTTTAAAATGTATATAATATCACAGAAATGTTTGTACATACTGATATATAAATTTGATGTATAGAATGGTCACTCATATTTTTGCATAGCTTTCTCAAAATAAACACATATATTAGTATTTAGTTTCCAAAAATCAATAAAATATATCTCAAAGGTTGGGTGTAAATGTGATCAATAAAGATTTTAAAAACTGCCTAATATTTATCATTTTTGACATTCAAAAGATGTTTGTCTTGGTCAGAAAATCTGTTCTGATAATTTTATGTTCTCTAGGCATTCCAAGTCATTCCGAATTATTGAAACCAAAATTGTAAAATGAAATTAATTTAAGTTAATTATTTACAGATCTGGAAAAATTAATGCAACTTACCTTATGGCAAAATTCCACTTTTGGCTAGTTAATAATTACTTTTAATTCTTTGATTTTGAAATAGAACTTTCATACCTATTTAGTATAGCAATAAATAAACAGATTCTACTTTTTCCTAGACACCATATTTTCATTGAAACAGAAATATGAGTAACAGAACAAATAATTTTATATAGTTTTATAGATTTATTGAAATACATTTTACAGATACATTTTATTTATGTGTTTATTATTGCTATGTTATTAAAATGAATAATTATCTAATCCTATACTCTATAAAAATATTTTTGGTTGAAAATCATTGTTAATATTTTTTATTCATAAATATCCTGTTTTGTACTGATAAATTATTTTACAATCATTCATTGCCATATTGTGCAGTTCATAATAAAAAAGTAGAATGTTCATATATATAAAATTTATTATTAATGCCCAAATATATGATTTGCCATGTGAAGGAATGTAAATCGATTTTGTGAATGCGTTGAATGATCTTACACTACTTTAAAAGTATTTATTAGCTTCTAATTAATTCTTTCTCAACATTTATTAAAATGTATGCAGAGTAATAAAAGTTAGATTAACTTAATTTTATTTCAGTCAACATACAAACTTAAAAAAAAACTCCTTTGATGATTTGTAGCGATGATTCTTGTTTTATTTACTTCAAAATTTTCTATCGTTGCTTTGATGTACACTGAAATATAAATTTAATATTATAATTTTCATATGATTATGATATTTATAATCATGCAACATTATGGCATGTTATTGCAATTTGTATATATTTAAAAAATGCAACAGTATGAGATGTTAAGACCTTAAGCAATTTTAGTAATGAATCTTTACCCTTGATAACTTGCACATTATTGTTGTTAATTGCATAGCAGCCATTCGGAGAATAATGATTTTTTGTTCATATCAAAACAAAACAACAAAATCACTAGTCTTCCACATGGCAGCAAGCTTAATGTTAGGCATTTCAAGCATGATTGATTTGTTAGCATGATGTCACATCCTTTTCCAGAAATGGATAACTTATGATATATTATTCATTAAATGTTTATTGTCATTTTGTATACACATAAAACAACGTTTAGCAAAAAATTTTGCTCCAAAATATAATATCATATCTATCAATAATTTATGATTAACAAAAATAAGAAAAACGCAAGGTAAATAAATGATAAAATTAGTTAAATATCTATTAATTAAATGAACCAAAACAGCATCATTACATATTATATACAGATATAGCTAAGAATTTACTAAATCATTGTAAGTTAATATTAATCATGAATCTTTGCCACACCAACAGATATTAATTAATATAACTTAAAATAGTACATTAATTAATTAAAAAAAAAACACTACAGAAAAACATTTTTATTCTAAACTATAACACTAAACAAATATATAATATTTACACAATGTACTACATTCTCCATGTTAGTAGATATTATGATGATTATGAAGAATTGGAAGTAGGATGTGGTGATAATAACCTGAGGAAGTGTGAGAGGAAATTGTTAATACATATAATACAACTGAACAAAAACTAGCATACATCAAATAAAACATGATGTGATATATGATCAAGAAGATTTTGTGAAAAAATCTGATCCAAAATCATATTCGAACATGACCCAAAAACAAAAAAAAATCAGTATAAAAGATGAAATTAAAAACCAAGCTTTTACACTATATTATTTCAACCATAATATTCATGCAAAACATTCAGTGCATTAAAATTCATGCAAAACATTAAAAATGAAATTCAGAAGGTGTTTACCTTTGTTGGAGCAAATATTGCGCCATTTGTATTTGATTGGGTAGACCTGAGATTGTAATAATTCTATCATTGGATCCAGGCAGCGGTTCATCTATGGTGATGTCAGCACAGGATTCCATTCTTATTTTACGAATGCGGGAACCAGCTTTACCGATAATTGCGCCGGCTAGCTGCAAAGAAAAATAAATTATCAATTAAGTGTAACTAATAATTTTTTAGAATGATTTTAGTTTTAACATTATAAAGTTTGGATTCAAAATAAAATGCCACAGTATGGTCACATAAACAGAAAAGACACATGAAGAGCATCAATATACTAATTAATATTAACTTAAGCTTCATAAATATTTTATAAGAGAAGGAGCAGGAAAAAATTGTGTAACAAATTTGGAAAAATAACTTTGCAAAGTCTTTTGTTTCAACTTTATAATGTAAAGAAATAAAGCAATGCATGAGTGTCATAGGATCTATAATTTATTGCATTAATCACAGGAAAACCTTTGAATTTTTAAGTATTTCATCCCAAATTCCGTTTTGTGCTATATGAATATATTTCTTACATCTTTTGGAATGGTGACTTGTGTAGTGCTCTTTCCTGGTCCGTCCATGAGCCCTACTGGACCACCGCCGCCACCCATGGGTCCCGATCCTAAATTGCCCATGCCAGAACCATTATTCATGCCTCCCATGGAATTTCCCAGACCCATGCCACCAGGCCCACCATTGTTCGAAGCCCAGGGATCCATAGAGTTACCGCGATTGCCACCGAAACCGAAACCATCTCCGGACCGATTGTTGAAGTTGTTACCGCTAAATTCGGCTGAAATTAGGCAACGAGACGGTTTTTGAAAACAGATGAAGAAAGAGATAATAGTATTTTGTTAAGAGATTTGATTCTGGGTATTAAAAAAATGGTTATAAAATAGTTATGTAAGCACCCATGCATTGCTATTGCCAAAAGATAAAAAAGAGAAGTAAAACGAATTATAATAAAACTTAATGGAATGCCACAAAAATATGTGAAGATGAAAGTCACTTTTATCAGGATTTTCAACATTGGAATTTCACAGATGGAAACAAATCAATAAATATAAGATCTATCAAAAACAGCAGAATTTAGAACAACTTACAAATAACTTTCATCATTAAAGTATTATCTAAAATTCAGCTCACAACTTTAAATCAATAATAATGAAAAAAATAAATGATCAATTAGTACTTACACATACTGTTGCGAGAATTGAAGTTATCCCTCATTCCACCGCCGAAATCATTGCGACCACTTCCGAAATCACCATTTCCAGATCGACCACCTCCAAAACTGTCTCGGCCACCATATCCTCCATCTCGTCCACCACCAAATCCTGAATCGCGATTACCGAAACTGTTGCGCATTGAAGAGCCGCGGTCTTCGAAACCGCCACCACGACCGCCAAAACTGCTTCTGCCGCCGCCACCGCCGCTGGAATAAAAAATTGATTAAATATATCAAACTTAAACTGTAACTCTTTTACATCTTTGCCTGGCGATATAAACACATTTTAATATGTGTATAATAAAAATTAATAAAAATGTTCTAAACAGATTGGGAACAAAACTATTTATTAATGGATAATAATTGATTTTTACCTCATTCCACCACCGCCGCCGCCAGACCTCATTCCGCTGCCTCCACCACTGCCGCCGCCGCTGTTACGGCTAAATCCGCCGCTGTTGCGACCGCTACCGCGGCGGTCGTCATTTCTCATACCGCCGCCACCGCCACCGCGTCCTCCAAAGTCGTCACCTCCAGGTCCATTGCGTGAATTGGAGCCATAACCGCCGTATTCATTGGCATAGAAATCATCGTAATTGTATGGATCGTAGTTATTCACAGCACCACGAATTGGGTTCTGCAAAAAAACAATAATTTAATTAATCATGAAGCAATTTGTAATAGACAAATTTTAAAAAATTCAATTCCATTTTTGGATTATTTGTCCAATATATAATTACATAAGGAAATATACATGTATGTTATATGAAATATTTTTATTTAATTTTTTCTTTATAAAATGAGAAGTGGATTAATTTCCAACTTACTGTTTTTACTAGAGTGATAATCTCACGAATGGCATCCACAATTGTATTTGATCGACCGACCATCTGCACGATACGGTCCGTGCTTTGAGGAGCAGTGTTGGAGAAAATCTTGATGCGGGCACCAGTACTCTGAAAGTTACAAAATAGTATGAAAATGTTTTATCAATAGTCAAAAGATCAACTTTTCAACATGAAGCACCACACTATTATATACACATTTTTTATAAAATAAATTTAAAAAAATTAATTAAGGTAAAAAATTGTAATCCAATTAAAATGCTAATAATTTTACTGATGCGTTTAAAGTTAAAGGTTTGGTTAATTGGTATTTTTACTCTGAATGTTAATTGGTATTTTTTATCCAAGATATTAATTTCTAATTAAAATTCTCATTTAATATTTATTTCAATATAAGAAAACGCGCATTCGCTGAACAAAAGGTGTACATAAAAATCTTAAATTTTAACACCATAATGCATGAAAATTTATATTTGCAGAATACTTATAATACAAAAAATATTACACATTAAAATCAAGTATTTATAACGATTAACATATATCAGTGTACATTGATTTCAAGTTTTATATGAGTAAATATAAGAAAAATATAATACTCTGGTAAAAATAATTCTATTAATTTATTTTTTTATAATACTGAAAATTGCTTCTATAAATCAGTAAGAACATACATAGCAATTATTAGAAGTAACGAAAGCAACCGTATATATAAAAATTGAACCGGTCATATAATTACCACATGTAAGGTTTAATTTTTATATAACACATTAATATAAAAAATTTAAAGTAAAATATAAAATAATGGCACAAAATATTTTTTGTGTAGTTCAATATCGACCTTTACTTCAGTTACAAAAGTGATCGTTTAAGAGAAACCGACATTTAAAAAATTCCTGTGGCAGCTTAGTACACTTTTAAAAGAATCAGCATTTTTTTCTGAACCAACAATAGACTCACCGAAGGTACATCCTCGCTTTCGTGAGAACTTCAACAATATTCTTTTTGTCCACAATCATTTTTGCACACATACTCGTAAAAAACGCACACACCCTTATTTAACTCAAACTCGAGGTTAAATCAAAATCTTAACCGCACCAATAAAAATGTTCCAAGAGAAAAAAAGTCTCAACATATGGCACTTCTTGGATCAAGAAATAATGAAATAATTAAGTTAAAAAAATCGATATTAGTTTATTAAATGAATCACTAAACACACTCGATGAGACGTACAGATTTTCTTAAAATATTGAGAGATTTGAGTAAGGTCTTTAAAGTTCAACCACCTGACAAACTACCCTCTCGAGTGTCCGTTGCACAATGATTTTAACACACACACCCTATGTCAGATCGACGGCGGCCATATTGAAATTCCCACCCCTAACTCTGTACACACATACATCCAAAAGAAAAAGCGAAATACGAGTGATATAGAACGAGGGCTGGACAAAGTGGCGGCAAAAGTTGTAGGGCAAGCAGCGCAGATGTTCCTTTGTGAATAAGACGAGCGTAGAATTTTAGGATCGCTGCATATAATCTTTTTTGTCTCCTTTTGTGAAGGTGAAGGTAAGCAAAGGTGAGCTAGACGAGGTAAATCTGGACACTTTCAATGGAGAAGGAACAAATTCGTGTTTTCGAGAAACTTATTGAATTTAAAGGTAGTCCCAAAACAGATGTTTCGTAAAATATGCTTGATTTAAGGAATGCTGACGCAAACTTTTTAATTATAATAATTATATACATCTTCACATCTTGCCCTATTGATTACAATAATCAAAAAGGTAAAAGTATCTAGAATATTGAGGATAACACAAAGTACACCCGGACATTTTTTATATTATTGGCTACCTTATTTGTTTAAAATCCTTATTAACACATTATAATCGCCATGCCAGTCATATGTGTCTAACACTAAAAAGTTCTACATGAGCTATATCCATTCCCATTGGAAATGATTATAATTCCATTATCAGTGCTTCGACTTTTTTTTATCAAATTACATTGGTAAAAAGTGGAAGATTACAAAACCTTCGTGTAGAAATAAACATGAGACATCGATCTAGTCGTCCGTACTCGTGAACTTCCGTTACGTAAGGGTGAAACAAACATCGCTTCAAAATTGAATATTGATTGATAGCCAATTTGGAAAAATCAACCCCAATTTAAACAAAACAAAATAATGAAACCAGGATAATAATATAAAGGAATAAATAATATTCTATATTGAAAATATAGAGATATATATCGTAAAATGTAATTAAGACCGATAGATATTTTTAAATGGATAAACACAAGAGTTTTTAAAAATTAACAAGATTTCACTCAATTATATATTATAGCGCGTAAATTTCTTAATAAGCAACACAAGGTCTAAGCAAATAAAATAAAATAATTCTACTTTTCAGTTAAGAAGAACAGCTGGTTCCGGCAAAGATCCACTCGTCTCACATCACTGGGTGTTTCAACGGAAATCATCACCGTGACATGTGTTAAACCACACAAATGTGTACGATTTTAAATACACAAAAAATTAAATTATTAAAATTATTATATTATATAATAAAATTACATAAATAGAGAAATATAACATAATTCATATGATTGACGTAACCGAATTAACTGTAGCTTTATGCATGAAGACTTTTTTGCGGGCTGTAAAAGAAGCTAGTAAGTCAGTTCCACAAAAATTGAGTTATGGAGAACCATATTGCTGACTGTTTGATTTATTATCAGGAAGTATATCTAGCACCATTGCCAAAAATGACAAATAAGATGAAATATCACATTCGCATAGCACGTTAACGCTATAATTCTTAAACGTTTCAGAGTCTGTATTGTTTTGTTCTTTTTCTACAAGTTTGCCAATAAAAATAACCGGTCTAAATATAATGGGAAACTAAGATTTTATTTAATATTCAAATATATTTATTATTATTAACTTCCCGTAGGGCAAGTTATAGTAATCGCAAAAAAATCTAAAATAACAAAATTTGTATATCTTTACGTTTCAAAACCTTCTGAACATTTTGGCATACCTTAGAAAAAATGGATGTATATGTGTGTGTGTGTGTGCGTGTATCTGTGTGTGTGCGTGTATGTGTGTGTGTTCGGATACAAATTTTCGTCGACGATTTCGGGAACACGGATGAAGCAATTTGAATAAATTCAAAAAACATTCGATTCGTATTGATAAGGAGACGTGCTGATTATTTTTGGCAAAGGCAGGTCTAGCAGTTCCGAAGATATAGGGCAAAAAGTGCCAAGTCCTTTTTAATAAAAAATTAAAAAGTTGATTTTTGTTCAAAATATATAGTTAAATTCTATCTAATTTTTTCAGAGTATTTTTTTTTCAAAAATGTTAATCTTTTTAAAAGAAAATAATTTTTTGGTACAGGAAGTTCCAGCAATTTGCCTTAAGACACGATGCCATGCGCTCCACTAGTTATTATTTTTATTTAACTATGAAGAAAAATAAACCAAATTCGAATTTAAATTCCAGGAATCTTGAAATCAAAAATATCACCTTCCTAGTGGTAGCATGAAGCATTTTTACCTGACCAAAAAAATCATTTTACAAACAAACCATTCACTATTAAAGCACTAAGAAATTTAACAATGAGTGTAAACTTGAAATTGGGCTTATTGTGTTTTAGGCACGGGCGACGAATCATGAATAGATTTTTTTGTGAAAATCGGTATAAAGGAATTTCATTTTGAACATTTTTTCAGTTTACCGGATTTTAAAATTTAAAACAAATTCGTTGAAGAAATTATACTTCAAATAACGCCAAGAAGAATTTACCGTAAAATAATATCAGCTTTAACAATTTTTGAAGTATTTTGTTAGGCACTGTGTACATTGTTTAAATAAACTTGAAAAATGATTTAATTGAAGTAATATTGCAGAAAACTGAAGAACAAATATACATGAATTCTGCTATAACAAATATACTTGATTATATGATAAAACCAACATTATATCTGAATGTTAGCAAAGTTTTCATGCCGAAAGGTGTCGGTTGATAGAGTAAAAATGCCAGATGACAGCTGCAACGCAAGACGTTCGGCGGGCATAAGAAAACTACCGCGCGGTCTTCGAGTTCGAGCAGGTGTTGAATGAAGCGAGGATAATGATCAACTGTTGAATATAAATGCACGCGCTGACGATTCCAAAAGTTCAGTTAAGTCGAAAGAATAAAATTTTTAAAGAACTTATATTAGGTTAAATACTTAGTGTAATACCAGACACATTGATACATATATAACTGTAATAGGGTCGGGGCTAGTTGAGCAAATTTTTATTTAAACGGATGTAGCTCCTCAATGAAAAGTCTCAATAAATTGCTATACGGCTTAATGGATTTTGTTGTTTATAGCTTAACAAAAGTGTTAATACTATTTTTTGGTAATAAGTAAAATTTAAAAGCTACAGCTGTTTAAATGCAAAATGTCAAGTATGTTCAATGTACCCCATAGGTGGGGCAAGTTGAGCACTAAGAAAGTATAATGAAATAATAGGTTCAATGTCGATTAGTGATGAAATCAAATAAGTTTTTAATAACCAGTTCTATATTTATAATCTTTATTGACAGAGAAAACAAAACTTGTAGTAATTTTCTTTGAATAATTAACCAAAAGTAGATTCAACAAAACAATATCGTATCTTAGGAATTATTTTACCACTATATTCAGTATTTTTGTTTAAAATCATTATTTCTTTATATTACTAGTCATAGACTTAACTTAAATCTTAAAAATAATAATTAATTTCTGGAAGTTGATGGTAATTGTCTTAGTGACAGAACAAGTTTAGCAATTTGCTCAACTAACCCCAACTCGGAATTTCAAAATAAGAGTGAGTTTATAAAAAAACCGCGAGAATTATACCCAGAATATCTGTGCATATTAAAATTACTATAATTATATGGAAGAATAAAATTTACCTGATTAAAAAATAATAACATTTGACTAAACCAGACGCAAACTCGCGATGAATTACTTTTTTACTTTTTGGCCTCAAAATAATAAAACGGCCGTGAGCCTCACTCATTTGTCCAGCGGCCACTACCGATCGCGGGATGTTTATTTCTCTCAAAACTCTATCTTTCCGCCATATAATTCCTAAACGAACAGTGAATAGTTTTCGAGATATTTCGATTGCTCAACTTGCCCCTATGCTCAACTAGCCCCGCTTTACCCTAACTAATATTACAGTAATATTAGCGTCAATTGTGAAGCAAAATAAATTTCACCACCAATTGCTTGTTAAATACACATATGTTATAAAATTATTTATACTATGTTCTATTATTATGCTTTGCAAAATGTTGATTATTAAATATTATAAAATATATGTAGCTCACAAAACAATTTCGAGATCTAACTTTTCATTTTCAATTGGTTATTTGTAATACGAGCAATGTGTGTCACGACAAAACGGCCGTTAGGGATTGTCGATGATCATTAAAAAATATATAAAAAACGATCGACAGCAAAAATACGAAGCACGTGCTAGCTTCGTTCCCGGTGTATGAGAGCGCCACCTGCCGTCTAGATCACTTCCCTTGTATACACAGTATTTATATAATTCCTGATCTAAATTATGGCCTATCTAATGATCTAGGACCTAGATTGGGATACTATTCAACAATTACAGGTAGACGTAGTTATCAAAATGATATGAAATTTCTAGAATTATTAAGTAGAATTATTTATATTTACTAAACCCAACAAAATTTCTTGGGTAAAATAGTATTTTTTAACTTCCTGTTGGGCAAGTTATAGTAAACGCGAAAAAATCGAAAATGAAAATTTATATATATATATATATATATATATATCTTACGTTTCAGATGTTTCTGAACATTTTGGCATACCTTAGAAAAAATGGATGTATGTGTGTGTGTGTGTGCGTGTGTGTGTGTGTATGTATGTGCGGATACAAATTTTCGTCGACAATTTCGGGAACACCGACCAACCGATTTGAATAATTCAAAAAACATTCGATTTGTATTGATAAGGAGACGTGCTGATTAGTTTTTGACGGAGGCAGGTCTAGCCGTTTCGAAGATATGAGGCAAAAAGTGCCAAAAATGGTAACTCAGTTTTCAAGAGAACAGAGCATCCGATTTTAATAATTCAAAAAACATTTTACTTGTATTAACAAGATGAATAATTGGTCAAATTTTCATGAAGGCAGACCTAGCAGTTTCGGAGATCTAATGAAAAAAGTAAAAAGAATGCCATTTTGCGGTCAGAAATGATCATTAGACATATGCACATCAAATTATCAGATATTTTATAGACATTTTCGGTTCCATACCAATGTTTATCCGTTAGACGGCTACGCGGCGCTTACGCGCTTTGACATTTCGTCCCTATGCAGTTAAAGCAGTACGATTGCTTTAAAAAAAGTTCAGAATTTTCAAAATATGTCAAAATAAAGAAAAGATATTTTTCAAAAAAAAAATTTTGAACGGGAAGTTCAATTCAGTTCAATGTTCAGTTCAATTTTCCTTAAGGCACGATGCCATGCGCCCCACTTGTTTAAAAATATAACATAGTAGTATGTTTTTCGAATGAAAACAACCCTTCCCCGACTGCATCAAATAGCTGCATAACATTTTAAACAATCCACATTGTACACATTCTAATAAAAATATATTAAATACAGATTTGCCAAACTTTGAGTATCGCTTAAAAAGGGCTCCCTAATTAAAAAATAAGAAATAATATGTTCGAATATAAGCTATAGTTTTTAATAGTATTATAGTTTATTATTTATCTATTTTCCAAAAATATAAGTTTCAAATAGATATCAAAAGTAAGCACAATTCAAATTTAAGAGCTGAATTTACGTTTTAGCTTATTTTTTTACCTTAATACCGAATTAAGGTGGCATACATGGATTTATCTTAAAATTGATTTTATAATAAAATTTAGTTTCGCACAGAAAGGATTTCGTATATTATCGCTAGAATAAGAAAAAAAATTAAGCAATCCTAACTTTTTGTAGAACTCTCGGTTTGAAGTATAAAATCAATTAAATAAGTCAAATATTTATAAACTCTACAAAAAATGTTTCAAATAATTTATCAAACTTACATCTCTGAGTTCCTTGATTTTTGATCCGGCCTTTCCAATAACGCATCCAGCTTGACTCTGATGAATCAACATTCTGATATCGACTTCATCGCTACCAGCCCGACAGCCGTTCTGTAATAAAAAGAACAAAAAAAACTTTATGAATACGATGACCTTCTTACTAATGGTAATATATAAAGATTATTCGTCCCTATATATAATATTTATAGTAATGCATATAATTAAAATTAGGCATATTAATTAATATATTCAAATCTTGTCATATAATAAGTGTTTGAGTACAAATATTTGTGCAGAAAATCAACTAAATTGATAAAAATCTATACGGCGAACCCTTGAACATAAATCCAAATAATATTCGGTTACATTTCTAGATCTATTTTGGTACCACCCGCATGCTAAAAGAGTCAATATAAATGTATTTCTCGTCACGAGCGATGCGCAGAGGTATTAATTTTCTTGGCACCCATAATTTATTAGTTACTCATTAAAAGCATTAAGACAATACATAATGTTTATATGGCATGGCGAAATCTATGCTAATTTATTGTCAGCACATCAAAGCCGCCCCATATTTATAATTATAACCACTGGCACGTACTTAGAGGTATTTATATGAACAATGAAGGACTGAATTGTTGATAAAAATCATTAAAACTCTTTTAGAAACACACTCAAATTTTTGTTTGCTTATTGTATAAAATTTGATTTTGGTTTGACAAGACTGACACTAACAAGACAATTTTGATTTTTTCAACTTTGGTTTTATGTTTAGATTATACTAACATAACGTTTTCATGTACCATTCATGTCCAATCAAAAAAATAGACACAAAATATTCTGATACTTGCACATCTTAAATTACGCATTTCATGTCTTAAAATCAACATCGTGACTATTATTAGATTTGCAATGACATGCAATAAAGCACATCCGTGGAAAAGTCCATTCAAATAACTTCATTTCAAAATAAAACTGTAGACTTGTTTCTTAAAAAACTGTAGACTTGTTTCTTAAAAATTATTCACAAAGCAACAGACTGCGACCAATGTAATTTATAAGTACAAGCAGACGATGAGTAGAGAAATTTGAGAATTGATTATATGCAGAATGATTGATTACATATGAGTCGCTGTGAATATTTCGCATGTTTTCATTTACTCATGAATGTGATTCAAAAATCAGAACATTAAAGGAAAATAAAGTAATAATTCGATAAATAATGAATGAAACAGTGTAGAACCAGCAATAGATTAACGATAATGAAAATAAACTTGTAGTAATGGAATACAAAACAAAACTATATACATTATAAATAATAATCGCTATAATTACATGTTCATTACAAACATTCTCACGAGTATGAATATATAAGACTAAGGCTAAACATAAATAAAAGATTAAACAAATTTGCGTTCTATGATTTATACATTATGTTGTAAAAACAAAAGTTCAATATTACTTGGCTTTCATTTTATAGAAATAATAAACACATTACCATTAAATCTACCAATTGTAATTCTCACATTAAAGTGTAATCAGTCGTAATGTACTTAGAATATTATTCGAGAAATTGAAGGACATGCCACATCTGAAATTGATAGTATACGAGACGAATACGACCTTGTTTATTGCAAAGAAATATCCTTGTGCTTATGAACTCATCATATGGAATTCGTATGACCCAAATTGCTTTATTTTATGAGAAGCGTTAAGGGAGATCGTGGAAAACGACAGCCTGAGCAATAAAAAACATTTGATATTAAATCTTCGATTATGTGATAAAAGACAAAAAAATTTAAATGTAATTAAGCAAAATCTAGATTTATATCCAAACATCTAAGCTTGTTATGAAGACTGTACTTTTAAATGCTCATCAATCAGTTCAAATATTATTTAAATATAATAGTGAAAACTTTTTTAAATTTCTCATATACTCATCAACCACACAAAAAACGTATTCCCTATGTAATTCATATCTTAGCTATAAGAATTAAGTATGTTTTTTCTTAGATCCAAATTTGCAAAAACTACACAAATTAAATCTGCCTCGCGAAATGACTGTGGTGTCGTTATTTTTGGATATTTTTCTAATTTATTACGTGGTATACGCTAAATAACTTCCTCCAAAATTATAATTTTATTACCTTTTCCCCCATAAAACTTCTATATCAAAAACACATTTTTAGGCTGTTATAGTCTGTTACCCTTAAAGGCTTGAAGTGCAATTATATAAAAATATTAAAAATTATAGTATGTTATTACTAACTTATGGTAATATAATTAAAATAAAATATTTTGGAAAAGCTGTGATTTGTAAAATAAACATATTTATGTAAGCTTATAGTTGAATACAAGTTTTATTCGAGTCGCAATATAAAATAATTTAATTAAAGACGATTCGAAAAATTGAAGCTTGTGCGTCGATTTTTATTCAAAATGTGATCAAACGAAAATTATTGATTGATATATTTATGCTTATATTCCTATTTATGCATAGATTTTTGAATTGTAAAGACTATTCGTTAAATGCCCCTCAATACATATTTTTGATCACTTTAATATATTTAAATATATTAAAGATCTTTTAAAAATATGTTCAAGATCTTTCTTTTTAGAGCGAGAAAACTCGAAGAATAGGAGTGCTATCATATATAAAGATTAAAAAGTTAAGTTTGTAAAAATATATTTAAATGGGAATACTCAGGAGTAGCCGTATTAGAAATAATTTAACTGATTAAAGGCATTTATACAAAAATGGAAGTTTGTGCTACGATTTCTATTCAACCCTGAACCGAGAACAAAGGCGCCCCCGAATGACGTGCTAGGAGTTTAATGATATCATAGAATACCATATTCCCAAGTGCGATTCGTCACGCAGCGGACATAGTGGCGACAACAGAACCTGATAGATATACCAACAACTATAGTAAGGCTCTCATAAATTCGCTAGTTTAGTTTAATTAAATTCTTTATTTACTGATTATTTCATAAACATCATGAGTGATACAGACATATAGTTTTTATATATTGTCAATCGTAGCACGAACTTTAAGAATTTATTAAAGTCAAAAATATTCATCAAGCATCAACTAATCAAATAAAATAATTATACTTTGATATAACTTTATTAAAGTTGATATCATTGTTGACATAAACATTAATAAGTGAAAAAATGAATATTTAAGAAGACTTGCAATAAATATAAAATTTATTATCATAAATTAATTTTCGACTCACCTGTTCCAAATTTGGCATCACATCCTGCACGATGTTGCAGATGGTATCCAGATCAGAGTACATCGTAAGGATCCTGATGTCCGAGAACACAATAGAAAAAAAAACAAAGTAAGCATTAGTAAATCGTTCTCTCATTCAATTGATGGAACAAGATTTAATTTAACCGTGTTTTCAAACCGCATCTGCGCCGAATGAAGAAGTTCGATAAAAGCTCATTAAATTGAACGATTCGGGAGTATTAGAGGCAATTGAAGTGAAACGTGCGAGTGCTTTTGCATGATTTAGATAAAATGTAATAAAACAACTGATGTCGAAATGACAGGATATTAATTATTGCAACACGAAAGTCTGTGCTGCCCATTTCTTGTTATTTTTGTAGTTTGAGTAAAGAGGCAAGATAATTAAACACAAAAAATAGTGGATTGTGATCTTATACATTCTTGGAGCAAAATAAAGTGCAATTTCCTTCCATGTGAGTGTGGCACAAAATCAATCTGGTGATTATAGCAAACTTAGTGCAGTCATTTTGAATTAATTTTTAGTTTTGTTAGAAGGCATTCGAACATCATTTTTTGCAGAAAGTAACATTAGTGTGCAAGCATTTCAAATCCAATATGTGCCCCAGACAAATATTTTAGTATCAGTAGTATATTTTATTATTAGGGCAAGAGCAAAAATATTCATCATTAGGTTAAAATTTAAAAGATGTAGTAGATATGTTGCGACGGCCTTATTCTAAACAGTGTTAAGCCAAGGAATAATGCTGCTTGGATCTGGAAATGATTAAAGGCATACAAGATAATTGATACATTTTATAAATACAAAAAGTGTGACCTTCGCTACAACCTATTACTTCAGAATTTTTGCAATAACTTTTCACAAAAAGGCAATTGGCTTCAGGTAATAAGGATATAAGATAATTTTATTAACAATAAATTGATTAAATTGTGTTAACTTATTCACAGTAATAAATCCACATTTATATGTTTAAAAAGCATAAGATTTGGAACGTATCTAATGTAACACTTTCCCTCAAATCAGCTAATATCACAAATGAGAAGATTTTTTTTTACTACCTTCATCGTGGTCTATACATAAAACACAAACTGTTCCTACAATTTTGCTGAAAGTTATAATTTTGACTAATTTAGAGGAAAAGTATCACTAATTTCTTTTAAAATAAGGGCTGAGGGTCGGAATTGGATGTCTTCTTCGGTATGTTAAACTGTGGATGATAACTGTTTTTGGATGGGAATCAGACAAACCAATTCGGTCCTAACTCTCATACATGATTTGACATAACAGATAAAAATGTGAATAAAGACAAGTGTATATGCATTACCGTTCTGGCCCAGGGCAATCTGGCACAGTAATTGAGGCTTTATACTGCATCATCATTGGCATTCAGGGCATATGAGTGGCAACACGGGCATCGAAGAAGGCGGGCATTGGGCGTCGATGCGATGTCAGTTCGGAGCAGGTCGACCAACCAAGTGTGCGATTATTTTGGCATTTTTAGTTTTTTGGCATTGTTTGGGCGCACACACACACGAGCAACGCAATTCGATTTTTTTGGCAAATTATTGTTTTTTTTTTTGGGTTTTATTCGAATGTATTGCACAGGGTTGTGTGGTCATTGTGTGGTTGGTCGGTCGATTGGTTGGTTGGCACATTTTTTAGACACCGCACAAATTATCAATCAGGTTCAAGTGTGGTTCAAGATTGGTGGGAGGTGATCGAGGCCGAAAAAGAAAGAAAAAGAATTCATCTCTATTAGTTTTGCAATTTTTGTTTCAAACAATAACAGTAATGCTTATATTAGTAAATTAGTCTAAAACATAATAAAACATTATTCATTCACAAGTTTGAATTTCGATTGTTAAAGGCAAGCTCTGTTAATGTGGTTTAAGTCAAAAAGCTGTTGTTTAAAGTTAAAAGTTTATCAGTGGCCGCACCTTCACATAAATTGCATTGCTGAAAATCTGGCTAAATTGAGTCAAATCAATCTAATCTAATACGTTTTTAAATTGAAATAAAAATCGTACATGTAATGAATACAATACAAATAAAATACCAATAAAATCCTTTAAAAAGCATTATTAATGCGATCAACAATAAAACTTCAAATGTTAAAAAAATTAAGTGCAAATTAAGTATATCAAAAGCAATTAATAAAACTCAAAAAGGTTATTTGAAAATTATAACTTGAATTATTATATAAACCCAAAATTCCAAAATGTAAGTAAAAAAGTAATAAATTTCTTGTAAAATGAATCAAATTTTAATACCTGTCCTCTAAGTTTTGTAATGCTCTGACCACCTTTTCCGATGATAGATCCAGCGACCTTAAAATAAATAAAAGTCATAAAGATACAAAAACAAACAAAAAATCAAATCATATTCACGAAAACTGAAACACAAGTATAATTGTGCTTCAGTTTTCGTATATGAAGTATACTTCATATTCGAGGTTGTTACTTCAAAACTCACAAAAAAAGCATTTGTAAGTCTGTTATAAGTGTTTCAAAAGCGAGAATATTTCTCATACCTTGCTGGGAATCAAAAGCCTCACTTCCTCATCACCGCGTCTGGAACGTTTCTGTGGGGCCTCGCGGACGTCTCCGTCTTCTTGCGATTCGCGCTTCATTCCGGCTGAAAATTGAATTGAAAATCAAAATTAGCTTTTCCACTAATCAATTCGGAGAAAATCGTTATTAGATTTAGAAATGTATTAAGATTACGTCTTTTCCTTGGCCTAAACTTATTGGCAGTCATTTTTAGAATTTCAAAAATTATAAATATTACACTTGATGATTTACATTTAACAATGACGGGTTATAAATGTATAAAAAATCATTTGCTTTTGTTTTGTAAATGTGTTTATAGTAGCCATGGCAATTTTTTTTTTTTTTTTAATTTCAATAATTATTACAACTGCTAATTTATTAACATTAAGTAATATTGATAAATAATAATATAAATTTAAATAAATAAAAGAGCAAAGGATAAAATTTACATAAAAACAATATCCGTAATATGATTTAATGTAAAATATAAGCAAATAATAATAAAAATAAGATTAATAAATAATATAAATAAAATTTCAGAATAATAAAATAATACTAGAAAAATAATAAAATATAACAAAATAACAATAATAGAAATAATAAGAGTATGGCAATATAGAGTAGATATATAGGCTCGTGGGCTCGTGTTTGATAAAATAGTGATAAAGTGCTACTTATGGTTTGGTTATTCTGAATATTTAACTTTTAATTAATTGGCTTAAAGGTAGTAAACATAATTAAATTTGTTGCATGCATCCTGAATTCGTTATAAATAATTAGAGTTACATGTCGCAAATAGAGAGTTTGGATGCATCGTATATATAAAACTTTTAAACAAGATTAACTGTGGATGCAAAATATCAAAAAGCTTCTATATCGACAAAAAGGGCGAGGAGTAAAATCTAAACTTGATCTTTGCTTATTAGACAATCATTGGAATGCGTAAGATTATAGTTTTTTATTCACTTTATTATTATTTTAACTTATTCACTCTTCAATTTGGGGTATCAAATATTGCAGAATTTGTTTATGTGTCGAATTAAAAAACCATTGAAAAAATGTCAAAAATCTAGATTGATTTAAATTTCAAAATAGAAGACAGGGCACCGGACTTGTGTTAAATGTTTTATTATTAACAAATTATAAATGTTTTCCTCGCTCAATACTTTTAGGAAATTTAATTATTTCATTGGCAGTTGAGGTGCTTTATCGATTCGTCTCCAACGTGCTGAAATTTACTCGCGCTTTATTGTTAAGCGCGTATTGATCTGAAGTATTTAAAGATTTCGAATGAGAAAACAGGTTAAGCTAACGCCCGATATTCTTTGCTCGAGGCAATTGTTTAGATAAATAGTCGTTAATTAACTTACGACACGATACTTGAGTGTGCACACAAAGCTTTAAAGAAAAATGGTTGGGATGGGACGAGTCCAAAGAAAATACATATTGTTCTCGAGCATTGCGATACCGTCGCAATGTGCAAACGAGAATGTGTAATTAGCACGTTGAAAATTATTTCACAGGAATTTGTGGGCACGACATCGGAGCACGCCTGATTTATGACCACGTATTTTTAGTTCAAGTTCGTGAAAAAAAACTGCCGTCTTCATTATATAAATTATATAATAAAATAAATTAATAAATCTAATAAAAATATGACCTTGAAAAACAGAAATAATAAAATTAATTGTTGTTAAGTGATATCACACAGTTCCTAAATAAATGAAATTGAAATTAAATGCTGGGCATAAAACTAAGATAATCAGAGTCAAAAATCCAGAAAACAATTCCAAATATTCCAAATTTGTCCAATTAGATAGATGGCTGATGAACTTCAAACAATTCTTATAAAACAACATATTGAATTTCACATTTCATATACGTGCTTTAAATAATACCTAATGATTCATAACAGTATAAAATACGAATAAACAGAAACAGTCATAGCAAACAGTGGTCGTCCCAACATAAACGATAATTATCATGTTTGCTTAATATATTTATATTCAAGCAGCCATTCTAATCAGCGCAAACCCACATATAACATTCCCAGACAATGTTTTTTCTACATTTCGGAAGCACTTGTTTATGGGAATATTATTTAACACCTGTCGGTTGGAGTTTGTGGGTGATCGTAAAAATATGAATTGAAAAAAGTTGATAGACAGATCAATGGAAGGATATAAAGGCGAAGACTAAATTGGAAAAGTGGAATATTTTTTATTTGATAATAATTAGTTAACGATTTAATAATTAGTTGTTAATTAATTCATATTCAATTAGAAATTACACTAAAGCGTAGAATATTTTTTATTTAATAATAATTAGTTAATTAGTTGTTCATTAATTCATATTCAATTAGAAATTACACTATTACGTGGAATATTTTTATTTAGTAATCATTAGTCAATTAGTTGTTCATTCCTTCATATTCAATTAGAAAGTATTTTTTAAATTATATTAAAAAAATGTATACATAATATTTCCAGCTTCCAAACAAAAATCTTATATACAATTAATCCAAAGAAATAAATCCTTAGCTGCCTAACGAATACATACGTCTCACGTTTCCGTTTCTGTAATGCATCTTTAATGCAAACTTTTGATTATTCCTCCACAAAATCTTCCACTTTCACTTATAAGAAAAATACACCAAACACTTCACAAAAAAAACTTTCAAATAAAAAAAAGGTATTACAACTATGATACAACACGAAGATATAATTCTAGTATTTTAAAGTATGAAGATTCCACTGCTAATATATCGAAAGACTATGGAAGACTGACTGACTGAGCGAATAGAAAGAAACGGCAGTGTTTGATACGAAACCAAAAGAGGTACATGAGTAGAACGGAGAAGGAGAATTATACTTTGCGTTTTGTATTATAGATCGGTCCAGTGCGTGTCTACAACGCAGGTAAAATATAACGAAGGTTTGTACAGGTGGGCAAATCCGAATTAAACGAAATCAGGTATTTAGTCTGTGGCGGGAAAAATGATTTGATCTGAGAATCGTAGTAATAATTTTATAATATTATAATTATTAAGGGGCACAACTAGTGTGAAATTTTGAAAAAATCGATTTTTGCTTTTTTTTCATATTTCGGTAGATTACATATTTAAAAATAACATATTAAAATTTCAAATCGATATCTCAAATAGTTTTTGAGTTACAGCCATTTAAAATGTATACATATAGTATATAGTACAACGATCATTTTATCTTTAAACGCGTTTTTCTCGAAACAGCATTTTCCGAATTTGCTGCAGTGATTACTCAAAAACGAATGATCCGATCACTATCAAATTTTTTTTACATGTTCTGTATATAGTTCTCCGTAAAATGAACTATCGATTTTTTGATCGGATCAAAAATCGAAATTTAAGTCGAAAAACGACCAAAATTTTGGGTAAAATTCGACTTTTTTTTAAAAAAAAAAACGCCGCCATTTTGTCAATTTTTGATCTATTTCTTTTATCGTAGTTCATTTTACAGAAAATATTATCTAGTTTAACGAGATTTTTTTTTTTTTATTTCATCCATGTAGAAGGCCGGAATCACTGCAGCAGTTAAGGGCCACTTTTTTTGTCGCGCCGTTGGAGATCGATGATAACTTAAAAACTATTTAATTTTTTTCTTCAAAAATTTTACTATGTATTCTTAAAACATGTATAAATATACTTCTAAAATTTTGAAATGATTGATAAAGTAATTTTTTTAATATAAATTCCCAAAAATCACCTTTTTTTAGGCGGTTACACTAATTGTGCCCCTTAATATAACATTATTATGAAGATGTTTGTACACATAAAAAAATAAACAAACGTGATACATATACTTTATAAAAGGAAAACTAAATTATTTTACTGAAAATAATTTTAATCGATTTCCATACTTGTTAAGTCCCAATTTGACTCTTGTTCAGAAACTATAATTTATTCATGTCAGAGTAAAATAAATATTAAAATAAAGAATTTTATTCTGATATAAAAATTCTAAATATTTAAAATATACGATCGTCACGTATAAAACCAAAAATTAAGCTAAAAAATACATTTTTGAACGGGGCACAATGTTCTCAAGTCAATTTTATAACGCAGGTATGAAAAGCACAGGTAGACTACTAAGTCGCAGTAATGGTATGCGAGGTCAGACAAAATGCAAAAAGCACTTAATAGAATATACAAAAGACTGATATGATGATACATCTCGTCTTTTATATAACCAGGTATATATTTAAAGCAAACATATCTGCAGGAAAGAAATAATTCGCAACAATTTACCAAGAAAGTGTAATTAAAAACTGAATTAGTAATACTCGAAGTAAAGTAATAATTATACTAGCATAGTGCTAAAATATACGAATATTTGATGTTATCCTCCCTTTACACTGGATAGTTTTTTTTTAATCATATTTACTATAAACTATTTTCTTAAACGCTATTTAAGATCTTAATAGAGATTAGTTTATATTTCACTATAAAACTCTTTAAAACTGACCTACCGCCATAAAAATTATATTCTTCCTCAAGTTAAAAAAATGAGTAGGTGGATTACAAATTGCTCCTCTCGGCGTCTTCTCTACATGCTCGTTTCAAAATGATACTAAATTAATTTATATCTCTATATGCAACCGCCAAAGTTTTCGGCAAGTACAAGGTTGTCATTGAATTAAACAGCTATTATATATTTAATAATAGTTACTATTATAATTAAAAAAAAAACGCAACTAGTTCTTTAAGCACATAAAATAAATATTTTTTATATAAATAAGTATGTTGAATTATAATCGCTAATTTATATTATGTGATCATCATTAATTGCAAATATAATCTGACTGCAGAAAAAAATCTTGTTAACCTTGTACATATTCCCTGCATCAAATATGCACAACACGGTGCCAACACACTAATGAAACATGATTGTGACCTCTTGTTTCAAATAAAATTATTTTATGAAGTATGTAAATTTTATACAAGAAACGTAATATTATTTTTCTGCTAGAGAGAAAATTATAAAGCTATCACGCTCATGAGTAGTGTGTGTGATCACAAAAGATTCCACCAAAAATTTTTTTTTTAAATGTACTCTTGGGCCGTGTGAAGAATATTAAGTAACATCACGTGCAAGGTCTCTAAATTTAAAGGTGAACGCCCTGCAAATTACTCCTAACGAATTCCCGTCCGCTGATCATAATTATTTTGATTAGTCCATTCAATTCCTGTTTCTAGATACTCGTCAATATCCGTATAATAGTTATGATGAATATTTCATATAGATTTATGCCTCGCACAAGTTATAGAAAAGGAATGCTTTTAATGTTCACAAGAACGAGTGCAGAGCAATGTGGACGACGGTTATGGCGGGTTTATGGAATGCGCGATTGCAGAAACGTTTGTTTTGAAACCTAGAAGGACGCTTGGTATGCGAGAAAAGGCGGCAAAAGCCAAACCGGGGCGCGCACAACTCAAGAATCAAGATGTGATGTGCATTTTAATTGTTAAATTATTAAATGCTGTGTTAATTTAACATTCATATGACCTATGCTCTTCACCTTCGACATTTTTTGCAAACAACCAATGAAAGTAAAAATTATAAATATCTATGACATAGGTAAAAAATTTGCAGTTTATCATTATACCACATTCATAAAACTTCTGGTTTTTATTAGCAAAAAACTGAAAACAGGTAAGATGTAACATAATCATTGAATTTTTTGCCATTGAAGAGTTTTGAATAAATCGAATCAGAAACTAATTAGATGGTGGATGATCAGGACAATATGGTGGATGTGGCCAATAATCGATCACAAAACTATTTTTTACTGATTGACAAGTGAATTGCCTACTATCCAATAACAAACGAAATTTTACATTTGGGATACATCAGCAAACCTTAAAATTCAATTGTGTAGAGGATTACTATGATTAATTTGATATTGAGTGGACTGTAAATTATAAATATTCTATCACCATAAAATATGTGAATAAAACCACTACAGTAGAATCCGATTAGTATGACGCCGGATATATTGACAACCGCTTATTATGACGTAATTTTAAAGCAGTTTGGTTTCCATATAAAATTCCTTAAAAAAACAGCTGTCTAGTCGGATATGTTGACCTCGCTTACATTGACATTCGCTTATAATGACCCATTGTTTGAAAAAAA